AGCCGCCGCCACGGCCGTCGCCGCGGTGCGCTCTCCAGCCCGGCCGGGCCGAGCCAGCGCTGCGCGCCGAGGTGAGTGAGGGAGGCTGGCCGGGAACCCCGCCCCTCCACTAGACCCTCCCCGGCTGGACGCCCCCGCTACACGCCCTGGGGCCCGGCACTTTCCGGGGCTGGCTTCTCCCCTGCCTTAACCTACTACCCCGAGCTGGACCCCTACCCCCCACCTCCGGGTCGCCTCCGCCCGTCCCGGTGCCCGAAGCGGGCTCTGCGCGCTCTCCGGCCCCGGGCACTCGGAGCGCACTTGGGCGCCTGGGCGCCACGCAGGTGGGCAGTGCCACCACCGCTCGCGCCTGAGACCCTGACTTTGGTCCCTGGGAGCTCTTAAGCGAAAGTTCCCGGAGCCACTTCCGGGGAGGAAGGCGCCACCTGTCCTCTCCCTCGGTGTCTTCTCCAGCCTTGGTGGGGCGCCCGCAGGTCAGCGTCGCGTCGGGAGCTGCTGGTAGTGGCTCGCAGGGCTGCCGGTCATTTCGCTGCGAGGAGCCGGGCTTTGAGCGCGCAGGGCGGCGGCCGTGGTTCCGGGCCCGCCCGGGTCCCTTGTGCTGGCGGCTGCATCTTTTAAATTGCGCGGCCAGAGGATCTTGAGATAGAGGCGAGGGAGGCGGACACGAGGGGGTTAGGGTGAATCTCGGTGCCTCAAAGCCAGAGACCGGTGAGCATTTTCTGAGTGTGGAAGTTGACCGAGCCGGGTGGAAATGGGTTCCTTTGGGCATTGGGAAGAGCAGCGCTTGCGCTGTCAGACTCCTCACGGACTGGAACGTTGCTGAAACAGAGCGACTTGTTCCTAGAGGACTCTTTCTCCATTTAATGCCCGAACCAGGCTTGCTTCCAGCACTGGGCAGAGATGTGAGAACTGCCAAACAGTATTTGTCCTGGATGCACCGGCAGAAACTTATTTTAAAGCATTTCATGTACAACACAAGGTATAACTGCGTTCTTTCTTGGCTGGGGTGTGGAAGAGGAGAGCTTTTCTATGAATTTGTCTTAGCTGTATAGTCTCAGGCAAGTTACTTCACCCATCTCTGCCTCAGTTTTCTCAACTGTAAAATGGGGGTGATAATAGTACAAATCCTAAAGGGTTGTGTAAGGTTAAAGTTCTTAAAATTGTGCCTGAAACAGGCTAAGTTTTACTTATGTTAGTTGTTCTTGTTATTTTTTATTGCTGACATCTGTCTAACAGGGCATCCGCATGCCTAACTCCCCAGTGAGGTGGGTATGGGCAGGCTCTTACTCCTTCCTTGGCTGAGAACCCAAATTATTCACACAGTGATGTCCCCTTCAGCGCTGAAACACTTGGGCTTTGCAGTAATGTTTCCTGTGGTTAAGCAGCCTTTTGCAAAATGTATCTCAGAATATGAGATTAGAGATGACCTTTGTCAAGGACACTGCTGGGAAATGGGGGTCTCAAACCTCTGGAAGCTCTAGGGTGTGACTGGATATTTGCCTCACTGAGGGGGAGTCGATAAAGTTCCACTTGAATTCCTTCAGGCCTTGGGCCCCCTGATAGGCTGACAACCCTGATCTCTGTGAGTGGGGGAGTGTTGTAAGGGGCCCAAAGACCTGATCTTGTCCCCTTCCCTCCATTCACTCACCTCCAGGAGATTGTCCCCTCCATCAGTGGAGCCTGCATCAGTTTAGCTTCTTTCTTTTTGTGTTAGGCCCACAGACAGGAGTTCTGATTCAGGAGACTCCAGAAATCTCCTGAAATGTGTATGAGATTGGAAATGTGGATGAGATATACTTGGAGCACAGGTGTATATTTTTCCAGAGAGTTCCCTTTTCATCATATTCTGCAAAGGGCCTGCGCCCCACAAAAGGGGACTCTGAACTGCTGGTGGGGAGATTCTTACCCCTTGTACAGGAGCAGGCCCAAGTTGTCAACATTACCTCTGTCTCCCAGAGGTGAAAGTGCACTCATGATGCTTTGTGCCCTTGCTCAGGGCACACCTTCCAGTGGAAAATTCAGGTCTGCCTTAACTTGAGAAAATCTGATAAAGAAGTCAACTGGAGAAAGGAGAAGGCAAGCTGAGGGAGTAGGGATTCTTGGCCTGTGGTGAGGCCATTAGGATGGGATACAGTTCATGAAAATTGGAGCTCAGATTGTCAGGAGACTCCTCAGAGTCTTTGCATATGCTCTTCCTTCTGCTGAGCACACTTTTCTGCCACTTCTTCTCAGGTCTGGCATGATCTTTAGCTTGGATGTCTCTTCTGTAGAGAAGATTCTCCTGACCACTCTGTCCAAAGCAGCCTGTCCCCCTATCAGTACCTGTCACATTCTCCTATAGTATTTTATTCATGGAGCTTACCTGAAATGGTCATACTCATGTATCTATTTATGGATTTATTGTCTACATCCACCCAGGAGAATGTAGACTTCAAGAGGGTAGAGGTGTTGCCCTCTTTACCACTGAATTCTGGCCCCTTGCACACAGTAGATGCTCAATAAATGTTCCCTAGTGACAGAATGAATGAGCATCCACTGAGTGAAGTGTGGTGAGCTGAAGAACTTTTTTTTTCTCCTTAAGTAAGCTCTACGGCCAACATGGGGCTCAGACTCACAACCCTGAGATGAAGAGTTGCATGCTCTACTGACTGAGCCAGCCAGGCGCCCTGGCCCTAGATATATTTGTTAAAAATTCATCCTTGGATGCCTTATCTTAATGGTTTGTACAAATATTGTCTGATTCAGATTACTTTGCACAGGTTGAGCAGGTTGAAACGAGTGAAAATGAAATGCTTTTATATACAATTCTGATTAATTGAGTCAGTTCACATTGCTACATGGGAGATCGCCTGTGTGGTGGGTGGAATGGGGTCTGCTGTGGAGAAGTTTGGAAATAAGCTTTGCCTTCTTTTTCACTTTAGTGAACATTGTTCATTCAGTTATGAAAATGGGGATACTTTTTCTTAAAAAAAATGAGGAAGATTATAGTTAGTTGGAGTCATATCTCCACATGTGCCTTAGCCCCTTAGCTCAGCCCTGTTACTCCATTTATTCAAGAATCACTTCTGGAGGGAGGGCTCTGACACTGGCCACAGAGCAGTCAAGAAGACCAGCAGTGTTCCTCCCTTGTGGTGTTTACATCCCAGTGGCAGAGATGGACAATTGACAACTAGATGTATAATACAGTATCAGAGAGTGTGGTCAGTGCAATAAAGAAGCTGAAGCTGGGGAAGGGGATCCCAAGTGACTGCAGTGGAGGCAGCATTGGTTTAGGTCAGGGATGGTTTCTCTGTGGAAGCAGCATTCGAGCGGAAACCTCGATGAATGAGGGATGTGGATATCTGAGGGAAGATAGTTCCGTGCACGTGGACCCCAAGGTTGTGGTTGAATTCCTTTTGAGCCCTGGACATGGTCTGTCTCACTGGGGAAGGGGGAGGGGAAGTGAGTCAGTGTGGGCAGAACTTCCCTCACCTGCTCCCCAGATCCTAGCACGTGGCTGGTGTAAGCTCTTGGCACTGTGTGCTCTCATGGTTGACCAGAAGGCTTATGCCTTCCTCCCATCCAAGTACTAACCAGGCCCGACCCTGCTTAGCTTCCGAGATCAGACGAGATCGGGCGCCTTCAGGGTGGTATGGCCGTAGACGGCTTATGCCTTCCTTTCCAGAGGGACCTGGAGTGATGATGTTTCCTGAAACCGCCACCTGGGCAATGAGTATGAGCCTCGGGGCACTGCTGGAAGTATAACTCTGCACATAGTAAGACTTGCTTCACCTCACGTGTCCTGGCCATGGGCCCCCTCCTCTTTTGTGTCATTTGGTTACAAGCACCTCATCACCCAGAGGAAACCACCTAGAGGAAAGTAGTTACTTAGTGAAGCTTTGATGGAAAAAAAATGAAGTGATGAAAATGTATAGGATCATGGGCCGCGAGATACATGCTTCCCATTCTCTCTGTTGAGTGGTTGATTGGTTGATCATTTGACATTACTTAACAAAGCATAAAAGAGGTATGACAGGGAGGCTTCTTGGAAAAAGTGACATCTAAGAAAAGAAAGGGATGGCTACAAGTCACTTCTATTTAGAAGGTGGGGCGGGATGGAAGGAAGAGAGAACAGCATGTGCAAAGGTCCAGATGAAGAGTTACCAGTTCTCAAATGATGCCAGATTCTCATCGGTTATAGCTCTCTGTGTGTGTGTGTGTGTATGTGTGTGTACGCATGCATGGAGTATTCTGGGGAAAAGGAACTGATGTAGCAGCCCTCAGTAGATGCCAGTTGATCTGAATGGCTACGCCGTGTGCTACTGGGCTCTGCACTGGCATCCTCATGTATCAGCTAGAACTATCCTATGGCACAGGTCCTCTCAGTATCCCCATCTTTCTGACCAAGGAAAGTGAGGGGGGAAGTGGTGGATAACTTGCCAACTGTGTCTTTCTGGAGCTCTGTTCAGTTGTATCAGGGGAGGCCAAGGGGAGGGGGATCTTCCCAGAAGATTGAGTCAGTGATGTCAAGAGAATCGGGTGCTTTTAACTATGTCCGACAGGCCTTGCTTTGGTGCACAGCCCCTGTGGAATGTGAGCTCTGGGAGCGCAGGGGCTGCCCCCCACCAACCCCTCAGTCCCTGGCACGGGGAGGATTTGTTGGGGGTTAAGTGGATGCTCCAGCGTCGCTGCTGGCCACGGAACAACAAGGCGGGAGGAGGCCATTGCCTTCTTTCCCTGGGTGTCTCCTGACTTTTCCAGGGTGGACCCGAGAGTCAGGGCAGAGCTGGATGTGGGGCCCAGGTCAAAACCGAATGCTCCAAGAAGAGAGGCTGGGGACCTTGGCCAGAGCTGAAGGACAAAGCAGGCAGTTTGGTGCCTTGCCTGGCTCATCTAGCTCAAGACCAAACTAGTTATTTAACAGCCCAAGTTAGTTATTTGTCCCGACACCCGACCTCCACTTCCAGCCAGCATATGATAACTTTGTGGGTCGGGATTTGCTGTTCCTGTGGTTAGAACCCCAAGCCCTGAATTCATCTTCCATTCTGAGCTTAATATTTTCCTGGAAGCTGGGGTGGTGATCCAGTGTGGTGGCTGGCTTTAAGGCAAACTGATGTGTCTGGAGGGGGTAGAAGTGCTGGTTGGGCTCCCGTGTTCCAGTCTCAGCTCCAGCATTGAGTTACTAGTGGAGTGACCTTGGGCAAAGTGCCCAACCTCTCCAAGCCTCAGTTTCCCTATCTGTGCATGGGGACAGTGCTTGACTGGACCTTATGGGTTTGCTGTGGAGATGAATGCACAGAGAGCGTACCCCTGTCATAGCCCCTGTGCAGGAAGGGCTGGCCGTGGTCATCATCTGGTGATCTAAAATGGACACAGGTCACACTGTCACAGTATTGTGCTCAGAAGGGTTTGCTCAAACACACTGGGAGTTCTTCATTCAGATTTGGAGATTTCACCAGGGGCGGGTGCTATGCTTTTTGGAGACGATTGTATTCTGAGCCAAAGCTGGATAATGGAGTTGAGGGCAAGTTTATTGCGAGACAGATGCCAGCTGGGAAATGGCATGAGACTCTTTGCCCACCGTGGTCCACCCTCCTGTCCCACGGTCTCTCTCAGGCCTCTCCCACTACAGTGGGGGCCTCCATGTCCCCATGGTCCTCAGAACCTGGCTGCTTCAGTGGACTGTTTTGGTTCATCTTCCCCATACCCCACCCCAGGTCCCCTGCTGGACCCTCCAATGCAGCTGAACCCAACAGCCCCCCCAATGCCCCAGAGGCTTTTCCACCTTCGCAGCTTTGCACCTGCTGTTCCTACTACTTGAAATGCTCTTTTGCTCCTTGCAGAACCTCCCATACTCCCCAACTCCAGTGGCTTCTTCCCTCTTTCCTTCCCTTTTGCCTAGGAAAAGAAATGCTCCTTTGCACAAGAAACCTGGTTATATTCTTCACGTACACAAATGCAAACAAATCAGAAATTGTGGAGTAAAAAATGAACTTCCTCCTCCCGCATCCCTGGCTTGCTTCCAGAGAGAACATTTATGATCAGTTGACTGTATATTTCTCTTCTGTTTTGATGTACAGGTGTGTGTACCTGTGAATATCTTTAAAAACCAACGGAATGGGCTCATTTTGAGATTTTATTTGTTTATTTTAGAGAGAGAGAGAGAGAGAGAGTGAGAGAGAGGAGGGGCAGGGAGAGGGAGATAATCTCCAGCAGACTCTGCGCTGAATGTGGAGCCCCATGTGGGGCTTGATCTCACGACCCTGAGATCATGACCTAAGCCAAAACCAAGAGTCAAGATGCCCAACCAACTGAGCCACCCAGGCACCTCTAATGGGCTCATTTTATATGTATTGTTCTCCAATGAATTTTTCCTCATTTAGCCGTATGTCCAAGAGTGCTTTCTCTGTCTATATGCATCTCCCCTCTTTTTACATCCTCACCTCCCCCAAGGGAGGAGAGTACAAGTTTGTGTGGACATGTATTTTCAGTTCTCTCGGGGATATACCTGCAGTGGGATTGCAGGTCATATGGTGACTCTATGTTTAACATTTTGGATAACTGCCACACTGTTTTCCAAAGTGGCAGCGCCATTTTGCAATCCCACCAGTAGTGTTTGAGGGTTTTGATGACTCCATATCCTCACCAGCGCTTGTTACTGCCCATCTTTTTTTTATTATTGCCATTCTAGTGCCTGTGAAGTGGTATCTCATCATGGTTTTGATTTTCATTTCCCTATGGCTAGTGGTGTTGAACATCATTCTTTTTAACTTAATTTTTTTTAGTGCAGTTTTAGTTTTAGTTTTTATTTTAATAATGAAATTGAGAGGAAAGTACAGAGATTCCCTTTATATTTCTGGCTCCCACACATGCACAGCCTCCCCCATTATCAGCATCACTCACCAGAATGGTATATTTGGTACCAAGGATGAACCTACATGGACACATCATGATCATCTGAGGCCCGTAGTTTGCCTAAGGGTTCACTCTTGGTGTGGTGCCTTCAGTGGGTTTGAACAAATGTATAATGATAGTTATACACACAATGATAATATCATACAGAGTATTTTCACTGCCCTAAGAATCCTCTGTGCTCTACCTATTCATCTCCACCCTCCTGCCCCCCACAACCGCTGATCTTTTTACTGTCTCCATAGTTTTGCCTTTTCCAGAATGTCATATAGTTAGGATCATATGGTACGTAGCAATTAGTTTCTTTCACTTAGTAACATGCATTTGAAGTTCCTCTGTGTCTTTTCATAGCTTGATAGCTCATTTCTTTTTAGTTCTGAGTAGTATTTCATTGTCTGGATGTACCACAGTTTATCCATTCACCTACTAAAGAACATTTTGGTTGCTTCTAAGTTTTAGCAGTTATGAATAAAGCTGCTATAAACATCCACGTGCAGGTTTTTGTGTGGACATAAGTTTTCAGCTACTTAGGGTAAATACCAAGGAGTGTGATTGCTGGACTGTGTGGTAAGAGTATGTTTAGTTTTGTAAGAAACCCACCAAACTGTCTTCCAAAGTGACTGTACCATTTTGCATTCCCACCGGCAACAAATGAGAGAGTTTCTTTTACTTTACATCCTTTTCCAGCATTTGGTATTGTCAGGGTTGTGGATTTTGGCCATACTAATAGGCATGGGGTGGTATTCTATTGCTTTAATTTGCATTTCCCTGATGACATATGATGTGGAGAATCTTTTCATATGTTTACTTGTCATCTATGTATCTTCTCTGGTGAGGTGTCTGTTAAGGTCTTTGGCCCATTTCCAATTCAGGTTGTTTGTTTTCCTATTGTTGAGTTTTAAGAGCTCTTTGTATGTTTTGGATAACAGTTCTTTATCAGATGTATCTTTTGCAAATATTTTTTCTAGTCTGTGGTTTGTCTTCTAATTCTCTTGGAATTATCTATTGCAGAGCAGAAGTTTTCAATTTTAGTGAAGTCCAGCTTATCAATTATTTCTTTCATAGATTGTGTTTTTGGTGTTATATCTAAAAAGGGCATCACCATACCCTAGATTTTTCCCTATGTTATCTTCTAGGGGTTTTATAGTTTTGCATTTTATATTTAGGTCTCTGATCCATTTTAAGTTAATTTTTGTGAAGAATGTCAGGTCTGTGTTTAGATTCATTATTTTGCATGTGGATATCCAGTTGTTCGAGCCCATTTGTTGAAAAGATTATCTTTGCTCCATTGTTTTGCCTTTGCTCCTTTGTCAGAGATCAGTTGACGACATATACGGGGGTCCATTTCTGGGCTCTCTGTTTTTTCCATTGATCTGTTTGTCGATTATTTTGCTAATACCACACTGTCTTGATTATTGTAGCTTTTACTAGGTCTTGAAGTCTGGTAGCGGCAGTCCTCCAACTTGTTCTTCTTTAACATTGTGTTGGTTGAATATCTTTTCATGTGCTTGTTGGCCATTTATATATCTTCTTTGGAGACATGTCTTTTCAGGTCTTTTGCCAATTTTTAAAAACTTGGGTTCTTTTTTTCTTTTTTTTTTTAAGATTTTATTTATTCATTTGAAACACAGAGATACAGAGAGAGAGAGAGAGCATGAGGAGGGGGAGAGGCAGAGGGAGAGGGATAAGCAGGCTCCCTGCTGAGCCAGGAGCCCGATTTGGGGCTTGATCCCAGGACCCTAGGATCATGACCTGAGCCGAAGGCAGATGCTTAACCATCTGGGCCACCCAGGCGCCCCGGGTTCTGTTTTTATTATTGATTTATAATTGTATATTCTAGATTCAGTCCCTTATCAGATACGTGATTTTCAAATATTTCCTCCTATTCTATGGGTTGTCTCTTCATTATCTTGGTTGTATTCTTTGAAGCCCAGGATTTAAGTGGGATGAAGTCCGATTTATCTATTTTTCTTATGTTGCTTGTGCTTTTGGTGTCATACTTAAGACATGTTTGCCTAATCCAAGCTCATGAAGATTTATGCCTTAATTTTCTTCCAGGAGTTTTATAGTTTTTAGTCCTTGAATTTAGGCCTTTGATCCATTTTGGGTTAATTTTTATATGTGGTGTGAGGTAGAGGTACAAACTCATTCTTTTGCATGTGGATATTCTGTTGTCCCAGTTCTATTTGTTGAAAAGACTATTCTTCCCATTGAATTCTCTTGACAGCCTTGTTGAAAATCAACTAGCCATAATGTGCATGCTTAGTCCTTCCTCTTAATTCTATTGCATTGGTCTATATGTCTATATTTATGCCATACTCCTATCTTGATTACTGTAGCTTTGTGGTAACTTTTGAAATCGAGAAGTGTGAGTCTTCTAACTTTGTCCTTTTTCATGATTATTTTGGCTTTTTGGGTCCCCATATGGATTTTAGGGTCAGCTTGTCAATTTTTTGCGAAAAAGGTAGCTGAGATTTTAATATGGGCTGTGTTGAGTTGGAAGGTCAGTGGGGAGTTTTGCTAGCTTAACAATATTAAGTCCAGGTCCCAATGCATCATTCGTTCATTGGTTGACTGACCCTCAGCATTCCATCTTTCAAGGTGCAAAGACAAAAGCCCAGGGACATCCGCATCTTTTTTCTTTGTTGAAGAAAGTGACAAGTATAGTGTAGTGTAATCTAAGTCCGGAGACCTTGGATAAAACATTTAACTCCTGAATGTGTGAAATGGGAGTGCCTCTGGCACGGACTGAGCATTATGGCAGACCTGGTTTCTCTTTATCTGAGGGCGTGATGGTGATCCCTAGAGATCCTCCCATACTTCCCTGCCTCCATGCTTGAGAAACGTGGTGAGAATTGGGGCCCCCCAGAGCCATGGAGGCACCAGGGAGTGGTGGAGGGTATTGGATGAGGCTGCAATTTAACTTGTTTTATTTACTGAGCAGAGGTGGGATTTCATTTAAGGAAAAGGTGCTCTGCTAAAGCAATTTTTGCCTCCTTCCCCCAAACAGGCATCATGGTTTAAAGAATGGAATAAAAATAAGAAAGGAATGCTATCGCATATTAGAAGATTAGTTTACACCTCTCCCTGCACTTATGCATTCCAGATGTCATGCTTTGGCACAAGTCCACAATTGTAGTCTTAGAGAAGAAGAAATAAAGAAGTGAAGCACCTACGTGTGTGTCAACAGGAATCTGGTTTTCCAAACTGAAGGAACAACCCGGGGAACTACATTGGGAAATGCAAATCCACTCCACCTCAGCGTGCTCTCCGCTGGGGTGACGGGCTCCATTTTAAACAAAATGGTGCTACTGTGTGTGAGAGATTGGAGCTGTTTATCACTGTTGTTCCAAAAAAGGCAATTTAAAAAAGTGTTAATTTGGGTAGAGTTTCTAGATTGTTTCTGGAGGGGAAAAAATGATATGCAATGGAAATTATTTTGAGATCGT